GTTATTATGGATTATGGACTCCGATTTCAGCCAGAAATGACAGTTAAAATTGCTCATATCTGCAGCAAAAGATGAATATTTTCAATGAATGATTTGCAGTTTGGGTCTATTGCTGTTTTATATAGTCTTACAGACATGGTCACGATCACAGCTTACATGTTTCTCCAGACTCATGCTCGTCAGTAGTTCATGATTTCAGTTTTTAAACTTTATTTAACATACCATACATGTTAGCTGGGTTACTTCTTAAGGCAACCTACTTTTAATTGTTGAAAATAGCACATATATAATAACCAGGGAAATGAAACCAAACATGACGGATAAAAAAAAAGATGAAATGAAAACTTTACAACTCAGTCCATCAGATTTTTTATTTTTGTTGCATGACCTCTAGTCACTTTGAACTGCGTGTTGTTGTTTTTTTAATGAAAGAGCTGCGTATAGATTCTGTGTTCCATAGGGGAACGATTCCTTTAATAAGAAATAATTGCATTCAACTTAAATACAAATAGTAGCTTCTCCAAAAAATATTTTTTATCTAACGTTAAACTTAGGCGTAATGTTAATCATTCATCCAGTCTCTCACTCATTAAAATATATGTTTTCATTACATTATTACACATGAGAGCTGAGTCTTCTTCACTAGCCGGCGGCCTTGGAGCCTCTCTTCGTGAACTTGACCACCATCACGGTGATGTTGTCTGGACAGCCGCGGGAAAACGCCTGAAGGACGATGCTCTTCGCACCGAAATGCGGTTCATCCAGATGCTCTTTAATGAAATGCACGGCTTCCTCGATGCTGAAGGCGTCCCAGAGTCCATCTGACGCCAGAATCATGAACTGAGGCTGTAGTTTGTCCAGGTCAAAGGTCAGCACGTCGGGGTCAGGGATCAGCACGTTCAGCTTCTTCAGCGGGTAGTCGCCGAGTGAACGTGACATGGTAAGAACGCCCTGCACACGCCATGAGCCGCTGAAACTGATGAAGCCACCTAGAGCAGAGAAACTAAATACTAATTACTGTGGGATTT